AGAGATATTTATACATGTTGAATAAATAATAAAATAAACTAAACTAAATATATCGAAGGAAATAAAGTTGCCATCTTACTAGGCAATAAAGTTGCCGTGTCAATAAAATTTCCAGATCTGCAGGCAACTAAATTGACATCTTGATCTACGTGATTATCAAGGGCAATAAAATTGACATCTAATGATTTACATAATTGATCAACGGTAATAAAATGGACAAATTGATCTTTATAGAAGATCTACATGGCAATAAAATGGACTTAATATTTTACCAATTAAATCTATCTAAAATTTTACCCGTCACACCGTTTAGCCAATCCGTCATCTATAATGCATTAATAAGAAAACATTTTTTTAGTATATTGGCATTACAATTTATCTAAATGCATCATAAATACAATTATTATCAATTGTCTTCACATTGTCTTTTGTTTTATTAACAGATTAAGATGAATCATTGAAATTTGTCTCAAATCATTAAAATTATGCTAGAAGGATTGCAATATTTTTTTTAATGATAAGTTAGAAAAAAAAACATACAGATATAATATATCTTTATCACGAAAGAACCTAAAAAAAAAATAAAATTGGAAATTTAATAATCAAAAAAAAAATAATATAAAAAAGAAACGGAGAAAAAAATTATCTATCACATACTGGAAAAATATCAACTATCGCTGCAATCTGAAGTTATCAAAAACCAACTGAAAACAAAATAATCCAAATTTTAAAAAAAATAAATAAATAAATAAATAATTGAGATAACTTACCCATGCTAACAATCTAATTAAATGGCTTTGGGATCTACCCGCATCCCTTCCTAATACAGAGGAATTTCTTCGCCTGGTTTCTTGAAAAATACTCTTTTTCTCTGATAATATTATGAAGTTTTTTTAATCAGGAACTTTTATTTTCAAAGGCTTTTTCTCCTATTTTAATAATTTCCTTTTCAAATTTATAAACTCTATCTTGGAATTTTTCTGAACCATCGAAAGCAGTTTGTAAATTTTTTAAGTCTTGCATTTTATTTCAACCTCCAGTATATTTGCCATCAATAAAGTTTTTTTTACCAAAAATTTTGTAAAGATTGGTCGTGACTTGACTTACATTTCAACTGCCTTTATATTCATTGCCCAATTTTTGTTATGTAAGCATAAAGATAAAATATATATTAACCAAAAATTGAATTTTAAATCAGCATATAAAAATCAACGATAAACATTTTTTTTCATTTCATTTAATTCCTAGATTTTGTTATTCTGATATAAAATTCGATCAAGCATTCCTTATAATTTTTAATACTATCGATATCTCATTATATAAACATTCTATATATTATTATAATATCAGTAATGCTATCTATCGCAAGAATAAATTAAAAAATTTTGACCCTAATAAATAGGTTTATGAAATTCTCGAAAGACACTACAAAAAATTAACTGTTATTAAATTAGGTTTGTGAAGTTAATATCATAGTGCAAACCTATCATATATTCGAATATTATCATCATAAATTTCCAGTATTATAATATATTAAAAATTAGCGTAAAACAACTCTTTTAACCATTAAAAGTATAATTTTATAGTAAATGACATTTTTTATTATTAGAAAGAATTTAAGAAAAAAATTTAAAAATTTTATTATTATTATTTAAATTTTTTTTTTATAAACTGATAAAACTTGATTTTGGTAAAAAATCTATAATAATATATAGCTAGCTCAGATATTGATAAATCCTTAATTTTTTATGATCAACATTAAATTTTCAAAATTGCAGGCAAATTTGCCTGCAAAACTGTTGAAGGGATAATATATTTGCTATTGTATTTGAAATTCTGATTATATAACTTATTTATAAATAATTTTATTTTTATAATTATAATTTTTTTAATATTTATTTTAATTTTAATTAATATATAATAAAGACAATATGACTATATAACAAAGTGTTATATTTAATTCTAATTGACAAAATTTAGTAAATGTAATAATTTATTAATCTGAAAAAGAATGGTTAATTACTAAAATTGTAGATTATCATGGAAAATTTATTATTAAATCTGAAAAAAATAGAATTAAAGGATTTATAAATTCTAAATAATGTTTACAAGTAATACTTATAAATTATGTAAAATTAAATAAATTTGTTCTTAAACCTGAGGATGTTACAAAATAATTAAAAATACAGAAGTATTTTTTTTAAATATATATAGTAAGTAAAAAAATAATATATTTATTTTATTATTTATTTAATTAAATTATTTAATAAAAAATCATTTAGAAAATTTATATAATTATTATATAAAATGGATTGTTCTTATAAAATACATTTCAAATATTATCATAAGATATAGTTAAATTTTCTTATCATAATAATTCAAATATTTTAAAATTTGTGAATTAATTTACAGTTTAAAGGTAAATATAAATAAATATAATTTTAATTAAATATTTAAAAATAAAATAGCTAGAAAAAAATTTAATAAAATTGATATTTTTAGAATTTGATTTATCAAAAAAAAAATAAAAATAAAAATATTTGCTTATAATATTTAAAAAATTCATTTACTTCTACTAATCAAAGAAAAATACAAAATGCAAAACATTCTAATTAAGATTATTTGCCTAAATTCATTTTAGATTTGGCAAAATGTTTAAACTATAGTTTCACTAAATTTTTACTAAAGTTTGATATAGTTTCACATTTTTATAAGATTTGATATAGTTTTACCTTTTCCAGAATTTTGCAGATTTTTTAATAAGATTTTAACATAATTTTACTAAATTTTACCTTTTTCCATTTAGAAATGACTTGCAAAACCTTTAAGTTTCATCTAGCATTCTTAATTCTAATAAAATAAAACATATATAAAAATAAAAATTTAATAAAAAATAATTTATATTATAATAGTATTTTTTTAAAATATATTTTATTTAAAAAAGAATAATTTACGAATTTTTTTATTAATATAAATTTTTGCAGATTAATATTATATTTATAACTAATTAATAATTTAATAAATGTCAAATTACTTTATTTATTTATTTGTTTATTTATATAAATAAATAAATAATATACATACATATGAATTTTTTGTTTTATAAATACATTCTTGATTAAAATTCTTTTTTTTTAACATAATTTATTTTTTTAAAAAAAAAAAATAAAAATAAAAAATAAAAATAAAAAATTTTAATACTTAATTTTATTTATTTAAATAAAAAATATTATTATTAATTTTTTATAAAGATTTTTTTAAAATAAATTAATTAAAAAAAATGAATTATCAGAATATTAGTAATGTCTAATAATGAGAGACGAAACCCTTTAATAACAGTCGAAACTTAGACAAAACTATATTAAAATAATAATAAGGAATACGATGAAACCTTTTCAATACAACAAAAGTCAAAACTATTAAAACTTTATTAAAAATATAGAAAAGGGTATGCCAAAATTATTTTGAAAAGGTTTTGGCAAGCATCTATAGTAATGTCAGAGTATACTTTATTTATTATAAGAATATTGCTATTTATTTAATAAATATATAATTTATTTTATATTACTTTTGTTAAATATTTTTAAAATAGAAAAAATATAATTAGTATCAGATAGGTATGCCTATTTTATAGTAAAATTTATTTATTTTTATATAATACTTTTAAATGTTTTTAAATTTAAATTTATTTTTATTTTTATATTTAAAATTATTTATTTTAATTTATTCATTATTATTTAAATTAAAGTAAATTTATTTAACGTTTTTTGCAGTAATATCACATCCTATTTAATCATGTGATATAATATTTGTATTAATACGTATTTTATAAAAAACATTATTGAATATATTACGTGATTTTAATGTATTTCATGTTTTGTATTTCTGCATTTTAAAGTTAAAATTTTATTAGTATGATAAAATGAAATACTTGTATGATGATATAATATAAATATTGAAGTGGCTATTTTTATGATATGAATTTGCTTTTCTTTAGTCATTCTTTTACTAACTAAGCCATTTTTTTTACTATAGATATTCTTTTGCTTTTTGTTTTTAATTTCATTTTAATAGTCTTTCAAAATGATGTATAATTAATAGTTTTAACTTTACAAAAGCTATGAATGAAGAAGCTGATAAAGGTTAGTTTATTTATCTTTGTTATAATATTTATAAATTCTTTACTAACTCAATTATATTCTATAGCTTTTGAAGTTTTGCCTGAAGACTTTTTTTTTATTTCAGAAATAGAAATTTCTAAAGAAATTATACATTCTCTAATACCTGATATTGGTTCAAAATTTGAAGTTTTTGATAATATTACTGAAAATATCAACTCAACCTCTACAATGTCTCTTCTAATAACTTCAATTCCAGTACAAGTTTTTTCAACAGTTCTACCACTTATTCCTCTAACAGTTCTGTCACTTATTTTTCTAACAGTTCTATTACTTATTCCTCTAACAGTTCTATCACTTATTCCTTTAACAGTTCCATCACCTATACTTTTAACAGTTTCAATGAAAGATAATTCTATATTTTCATCTGCTGTTTTTTTACTACTTCTGATTTTCAGCTTAAGCTAAAGCTGAGATATCTATCAACACTAATTCTTCAGCTTAAGCTGAGTTTATCAATACTGATTTTCCAGTTCAGAATGAGATTTCTATTAACACTGATTTTCATATATCATCTCAAATTTTAAAATTATCTATTTGGATCATTTTGCTTCTTTGATAATTGTTAAAGATTATATAAAATAGTTTGGAAAGCAGAAGGGATTTGTAATTAATCAGCATCAAGTCAAATACTATAAAAATTAATCATTTAACTTGACTGAATGAAGTATAAAAAAAAACTTACGTGTATGAGTATTTTGAAAAGTATAAATCTCGTAAGATGAAAATGATTGAGTATCAACATAATAAAAGATCAAAAAAAATAACTGTAAATGGTATATTAATTTAAACAAATACAAAAATGAATATTTAGTGCATTTAACCTTTATACATCCTGATCATAATCACGAATTACTTGCTGATAATACAAGATTTGCTACAAAATTTTGAAGGTTTAATGATCCTATAATGGAATAAATTGAATATGCAGTTATATATGGTCGTTGTGATGCATATACTATATGAAATTTATTGCAACTATTATTTCTTGATCAACTTTTTCTTACTTAAGATCTATCAAATACTATTCAAAAAATCAAACATAATAATCAAATTATTAGATCAGACGCTTCTCATTTGTTAAAATTTCTTTTTAAATAGCAAAAAGAAGATCCTACGATATTTATATAACCATTAATCAATGCAGATAGTGATAGACTTTGTGGTATATTTTGGATGACATTAAATCAAATTTTATTATGGTCTTATTATTCTGATGTTATCTTACATGATAATACTTCAAAAACAAGTATAATTATCCTTTATCATTATTTATATTTGTTGACAATGATGGTAAATCATGTTTGGGGCACAAGCTTTTTTAAATAATAAAACTCAAGAAAGTTATGAATAGATTTTGTAGCAGATATTGAACGTGACAGGTTTGGAACTTCAGGTTATAATGACTGATATAGATCCTGCAATAAATACTGTATGTCAAAAAATATATAAAATACATACCATATTCATTGCATTTGGCATATATTTTAAAATCTGCCTAAATATCTTAAAAATAAGCTTAGAATTGCAGATTTTAAAATATTCATTAAATATTTTTGGATAATGCATAATTCATTATATTTAAAGGTTTTTGAGCAATAGTTTCAAGCTTTGTTAGAAATCTTTCTTAATAATAATAATTATTTGTGTAATACAATTTATTTAATTCAATATTTGTGGGCTCAGGCATTTACAAGTTGAATTTTTACAGCTGACATGCAATCAACACAACGTATTAAATCTATTAATACAATTGTTCATAAGGCTGTTTCTTCTAGTTCAACTATGGCTGATGTAGTTAAAATTTTAGACCTTTGAATGTAAAAAGAGGCAATAAACAAAAGTTTTATAATATGAAAGTATAGATCAATGATATATTACC